ACGAAGTTTTGCCATGTTGGCCAGACTGGTCTTGTAACTCCTGGCCTCAGGTGATCCACCCACCTTAGCCTCCCAAAGTGCTGGGATTACAGGTGTGAGCCACCATGCCTGGCCAGTCAATTGTTATTCTTAAGTGACAGGCTTTGTTCATTTTCCAGAAAATTCCCAAATCTGAACAACCACAGTCAGTCATTCTCTTGAGTAGTATTACATGAAAAAAGCACTAGCTCAGCTCATGATTCAACCACACAAATACTTTTTCTGTGACTATCCCTTAATATGCAGTGAAAGTGTTTTATGTATGAACTCCGCATTTTGTCATACATACAGAAATGACAGGAAGTGGGGTTGAGATTTAACACGTATGTTTATTCTAATAGAGTATTTTTAAATGGAACTTACAATGTATTTTGAACTGAAGGAAAATGACACAACAGCACATCAGAACTGTTGAGATGCTGTGAAAGAAGTACTTGGGGGAAATGTATAGTAATGAGCACCTACATTCGAAGAGAAGAAAGGCCTCAAATTAATAACATCAGCTTCCAAATTAAACACTGGGCAAAGAAGAATTAAACCTAAAGAAAGCAAAATAATTGAAACACAATGAGTATCAGAGTGGAAACTGGTGGAACAGAAAATAGAAAACCAATACAGAAAATCAGTGAATCCAAAGCTGGTTTAATATCCTGAAACCAATCAATGTAATTCATCATATTAACAGGCTGAAAAAGTCAAACTGTATCGTATCAATAGATGCAGAAAAAGCGGTTGACAAAATCCAACATCCCTTCCTGATTAAAAAACAGTAAAAAACTCTCAGCATATAATAGAACAAAACTTCCTCAGCCTGACAAAGAGCATCTAGGAAAAACCTACGGCTAACATGATACTTAACAAGAAATACTAAATGCTTTCTCCATAAGATCAGAACAAGGATGCCCTCTCTCTCCACATCTTTTCAACATAGCACTGGAGGTTAGAGCCAGAGCAGTAAGGCAGGAGAAGTTATCCAGAATAAAACTGTCTTTGGAGATGACACTGTTATCTGTATAGAAAATCCAATGAAATGTTCAAAGAAGCCAGGAAATCAGTCAGTTCAGCAAGGTAGGAGGATGCAAAATAAGTGCAAGAATATAAATTGATTGTTTATATCAATTAACATTCAGAAAATGAGTGATAAATTTTAAAATTTAAATTAAAAGTTTTTTTACAGTATCATTTAAAATATTAAAATGTAGGGTTGAATCTCACAAAAGATGTGTAAGACCTATTCACTGAAACCTATATAAGACATTGCTTAGTGAAATTAAAGCATACACAAATAGAAAGATGGATGAACAATATTGTTCAGATCTCAATTGTCCCCAATTGATGTATTGTGTAAAAATAATTCTAATCAAAATTACATTTTTGTAGCAACTGATAAGCTGATTCTACAAATCATATGGAAACCAAAGACTTAACAGAGCCTAACCAACTTGATACATGAAAAGCAAAGTTGGAGGACTAACACTACCACATTTTGAGATTTATTTATAAAGCTATAATTAAGACAACGTGGTAATGGTTCAAAGATATATAAATTTATCAGTGAAAGAGTCCAAAAATAGACACACACACATAGACGAAACTGATTTTCAACAGAAATAAGGAAGTCATTCAGTGGAAAAATGATGGTCTTTTTAAATGTGATGGAACAACTGGATATTAACATGCAAAAAACTTTGATTTATATCTCTTACCATATACAAAAACTCATGAACACTTCATGAAAGAAGATATGTGGATAGCAAATAAGCACATGAAAAGATGTTCGGTAACGTTAGTCACCAAGGGGATACCACCACACACCTGTCAAAGTGGCTAAAACACTGACCCCGTGTTGACAAAGAAGTGGAAGGACTGCATCTCCCATACTGTGGGTGGGAATGTAAAAATAGTACAACTTTGGAAAAAAGTTTAGCCATTTCCTAAAAAGTTAAGCATATATCTACCTTATTATCCAGCCATTTTATTCTTAGGTATTTGACCAAGAGATATGAAAGCGTATGTCCATACAAAACCTTGTGCAAAGCAGCTTTATTTATAATGATGACTAGAAACAACTCAAGTGTCCATCAAGAGATGAATGGATAAACTGTGGCATATCCATACACTATTACTCAGCAACATAAAGGAATGAACCATTCATACATGTGACAAGACAGATAAATGTCAAAATAATTGAGCTGAGTGAAAGCCAGACCCCCAACCAATAAAAGAAACCATACTGTAGGATTCTATATATATAAAATTTTAGAAAATGCAAAATAATATATAGTGACAGAGAGATCAATGGTTGCCTAGGATGGAGTCAGGGAGGGTCAGAAGGGACAACAAAGGCGGACACTTGGGCAGGTGATGGAGATGTTCATTATGATTGTGATGGTGAAACATGGGAATATTTGTCATATTGTACACTTTGTGTGCAGTTTGTTCAAAATCAATTTTTTTTTTTTTTTTTTTTT